TTTTTTTTTTTTTTTTTTTGGTATTGTTGGTTTGATTGTTTCTAGGATATCCTTGACAATCTTTTGGAGTGCTAGTTTGCTAGTCATGAATTTCTTAGTATGCTCTTTGCCATGCAAATAGCTTATTTCTCCAATTTTGAAAGGTATTTTTTCAAGATATTATCAGTCTGAGGTAAAAGTTGCTATTTTTTAGAGGCTGAGATACTTAACTCAAAGCTTTCTTAGCCTTCCAAGTTTGTGTGAAAAGTCTGCTGTAATGCTAATGTGTTTAGAAGTGATGTGTTGCTTTAAGTGATTTGTTACTTTTCTCTAGCAGCTGTTAACATTCTGTCCCTGTGTGGAACTTCTGGGATTTTAACTATGGTGTGTCATGGAGAAACTCTTTTCTGGTTGTGGCTGTTTGGGGTTCTGTATGCCTCACTTATTTGTATGTTGAATTCTTTTCCCTTATTTTTAAAGTTTTCAGGTATTACTTTATTTGACAGATTTTTTTATGGCATTCGAGCTGCCTTATGATTTTTTTTTGTAGTTCCAGTGAATTGTAGATTAGTCCTCTGTGTTATCTAGCAGTCCTTGGGTCAGTCTTTCATGTTTTCTTGCTGTTTTCAAGGTGTCTGTGAGTAGTTGGTCACTGACATTAGCCCTGTCTTCTAGTTCTGACACTTTCACATACTTTCAATATGCATTTTAGTCTCTGTGACTTCTATTTGGAACCTGTCCATGGAGTCAGATTCTTTGCTAAACTAGTAATTCATGTGTTCTGTCATTTTGTTTAACGCATCTATTTTTCAAATTGTTTTCTGTAAACTCACTGTTTATTAATTCCATTATCTGTTTGTCTCTTCTTTGAGGCTTGATGACCCTGATATTGATCTATTTCTCAGTCTCCTCCTTTATCATTTTGAATAATTCAGCTGTATGGCTTTTGTTTTCCTCCAGCATAATGCCCCATGTATTAGCTTTGGGGGAGTTGGGAGATTTTGGAGGCAGTTTGTTACCTTGTCTTCTCATGTTTTTATTGTTTGTTTTGTTTCATGCTGAAGTTTCTGGATTGATTACATAGAGGTTTTTAAGCTAGTGCCTTGGTAACTTTTCTCTCATTGCTGAGACAAAATACCCAGTGCCAAAAATTAAGGAAGGAAAAGTTTAGCTGACAGTTTGTGGAGGTTTCAGTCTATAATCAGCTGGCTCCAAGGCGGAGTGGCAGGGCGCAGGGGCAGCAGTTCAAGGTGGCACAAGACAGTAAAAGCAGCAAGAGCAAAAGGGGGAGCAAGCCCCTTTCCCTGCCTTACACTGTAAGCAGCCCACCCCCACCCAGGGGGCATGTAGTGCTCACACAGTCTCCATGCCCCCCTCCTGCACAGGCTCAGGGTGATGCAAGGTGAGGGCCCCGCCCTCTGCTCACTCACTCGTTTAATCTTGTAAACTTCTCAATTTGCCGCAATGACCAACATCCCAGAGTGGGAAGGGCGTGTCCTTCTCAGCGCAGGATGCAGACCTGCTGAGTCCCTTAGCATCCCAGAGTCCTTCTTACCACGGGATGCAGACCTGCTGAGTC